ATGAAACTGACAATATCAGACGAATGGAATTTAGCGAGGCAGTAATGGATAAAGTTATCAATGACAACAATTTTCTTTACAATGTTGTGTTCACCGATGAGTCGACTTTTCCATTACTTGCCAGGCATAATCCATCCCAAGTCCGATATTGGTCTCGAGAAAATTTACATAAATTTGTAACAGTTCGCACGCAGTTTCCGCAAAAGTTGAATGTTTGGATGGGAATACTAGATGAAAATGTAATCGGTCCTTTTTATATTGAGGGTAATTTAAATAGTGTTAAATATTTGGATTTACTCAGATACCATATTGTCCCTGAGATACGGCGATTGGCAGGAGCTCGATTTAACAATATTTGGTTTCAATAAGACGGATGTTCTGGGCATAATCGTGTGACGGTGCAGCACTTTTTAAATGAAACATTTCCCAACAGATTATTATCAGGGAAAGGTACAATTCTGTGGCCAGCTAGATCGCCGGATCTCGCACCTTGTGATTTTTTTTGTGGAGTTATTTAAAGTCTCAGATATTCAAATTCAGGTAAGAAAGAGCTAACGACTTAGATGAGCTGAAAGTGAAAATTTCAGAAGCCGTTCAACTTATTAGTCCCAATATGTTGGCTGAAGTAAGGCGATCATTTTACGTACGCTTGGGGTAATGTCTTGCCCAAGAAGGAAGTCTATTTGAGCACCTATTATATTAAAAATAAATTCGTGTTCTTTTATTATTGATTGTAATTTATTATTGTCAATTGGATTCCATTTTATAATTTTTAATTTTTTGTAATTTTTTAATCTTAGTTTTGTATTTTTTTTAATCTTAGCTATGTAATTTTTTAAAGTTCGTTTTGTTTTTTTTTTAATGTTCAATGTTTGTTCTCTATTTTTTAATGTTTGTATAGAATTTTTTTCAATTTGAAAACAAAATCAAAGTTATTTTTTATAAATTTTAAACTATTGCTGTTTTTACTATTGTGGAGGGTCTCAAAAAAAGAGAAAAAAAAAATGAAAAAAGAAAATGAAAATTAATAAAATAAAAAAAAATTAAAAAAAACGTCGGCGCCGAGATTCGATCCTACCTCTATCCGCGTAGGTAGACTGTAAGTACAACACCTTACCCACTGCGCTACGTCAACAACTATTAAAGTTGTTCAAAATTTTGTCTATTATTACAAATTCTGGTTGATGGTTGCATTATTAAATTTCGCTATTTTCATGTCTGAATATGTTATGTTTGTTCTTTATCTTCATTTATTTATAAAATATTCATTAATACTCAACTCTGTCGTGAAATGTATAAAGTTATTCCAAATATGTCACATGCGAAAGCTTTGGAATGACAGTAGCGGACAAGGGTAAATTGGTCAACGGTTTAACCGTGTTCGTAGTATCGTGGATGGATCTGTATATAACACATTATTATATTATAACCACCGATGCGTTTGAGAAAATTTTAATAATACCTTCTATTGACTACAAATGGTGGTAAGTACATTTATTATAGTTTCTGAATAATTTACCTTTAGATAACTAATTTAAATAACCTTAGTAGATTATTTTAAAAAATATAGTTGTGGTCAACGATCGAATGTTGTGCCAAGTTCAATGATGTGTTTTTGTCTTAGTTGTGACATACCTACTTTCTCATTTTTGTTAGTTATCTGACGTAGTCATTTAATATCCCAATCAGTGTAAAGGTGACAAATATCCCCAATAGCAAAAATTATAACAATTTATAGAACAATTCTTATGATGCATTTGGATATGTTTACTACATATTCTAGATAATAACTCTACAATACATTCTATACAAATATTTGGAAATTTTTACTACAAATTGTCCCTGTCCCTATATGTACTATTTATTTTAGAGAAAAAATGTATAATTGTAGAAATTTATTCTAAAATTTTTTTTCCGTGCCCACTAGTAAGTATCTTTCTATAATTTTGTATGTTTATAAGTGAGCAGCATTTCGTATTGTGCCACCTATCGGCCAGTTATAAAACGTATTTGTTAAATATAGCAGTGAGTTACTCTGACACACGTTTAATTCATTAACCCACATGTTTTCTTGTTTTGTTATAGCTTCAGTTATTTTTCTCTATTACGTCCTGTTTCAGATCTTCTCTCTCCACCTATTAATCCCCATCTTATTTATTTGATATTTTTAACGAATTTTTGGTTGTCCTCTAGGTCTGTTATTCTGTGGTTGCTATTTTCTTATCTATTTAATTAATGAAGAGGTTGAGTGGTATGTACACACTGGGCAATAAAAATTGATTCGAGAGAGTATTTAAAGTGTGTAAAATTGAGTTTTATTCAATAAAACTCTATAAAAAATTTGTCTGAGTGCTTTCGGCCTCTTAATCCATCATCAGAGTCTATATAAAAAAAAAAGGAGCTGTTACAATATAATCAACTCTAACATTATTAAAAATTGAATAAAATAAAAAACCTATACACTTACTCGTCAAAAACTAGAAGAAACATGAAAAGTGAACTAAATTAACAAGGGACAGCAACAAACCAGTCCCAAGTCTCCACCATAGCTTGCAGCTTAGATAATTGAAAATAGAAAAACCACACCGAAATTCGGTAACTAACCCAGTGTAAAATATGGTTAATTTTTAACAAATGAAGTGGAGGTTCATCCGACCATGTATAACAAAACACTCCGGACAATTCAGAGAAAAAGAAACTGCTAGTCTTTCACATGAAGGCAGCAAGATTTTGCCAATTGCTACCGTGAGGCGAAGGCAAGTTGGGGTACAAAAAATATGCACACGGTTTTTTTTAAAAACGTGACCATCTTGACAATGTACCAAAACAGAATGAGTGACAATTGACATTTGACAATGAAGTTCTCAAGAAAAATGCCAACTTGAGAAATTAAAATAAATTTTGTGAAAAATTGCCAAAAGTCGATATTGAAAATGATAAAAGTGGGTTGGTACCACTGAGCATGTGATAGTTGGCTTTTAATCGAATTAACATTTTTAAAAGAAATTTTAATATTGTTGCAATCCTTAAAAACTGCAGCGACATCATTTGAAATTTTCCCAAGATAAGGTAGTGAAAAGTATTTGAAATTAGCAGGAGGTTCGTTAGTAGGATTAAAAGAAAGTTGGGACCTTTTCTTGAGTTTGACTTTATTGATAACCACGTTAATAATGGAAGGATTGTAGTTGTTATTAAAGGCTAATTGTTTTAAAACGTTGATTTCTTTATTAAAATTATGATTAGATGAAGGTATATTGAGAAGACGATGAACATAACAATATATGGCTGATAACTTGTGTTAATAAGACTGATTAGAGTGGAAATTAATTAGATGGTCAGTTTGAGTAGGTTTCCTGTAGATATCAAATTCAAGTTTATTATCCTGAAGACTGATAGAAAGGTCTAGGAAATTAAGTGATTTATTGACTTCAAGCTTAACTGTGAATTTGATTTTAGGATGTTAATGACAAATAAGAATTAATCAATCTCAGTAAAATTGCAATTCATAATAGCAAAAATGTCATCAACATATCTGTACCAGTGTGAAATTCGATTGTTAGGAAAATCATTCAACATTTTTTTGGTTTCTAAGTGATCTAGAAATAAGTCTGCTAACAAAGGACTTAGAGGATTACCCATTGCTAGGCCATTGGGTTATCTGTAGAATGTTTTATTAAGAATAAAGAAATCTTGGTCAAGACAAATTTTGAGTAAATCCAAGATAATATTGATAGAATGAAGGTTGAAGTTATTTTTAGTAAGAAGGTCCTTGATAATAGGAAAGGTTTCCTCTCTGAGAACATTAGTGAATAAATTGCTAACATCAAAAGAAACTAACTTAGCTTCAGAACTTGGATTTATGTTTTTAATTTTGTTAACTAAATCAATTGAATTTAAAACAGTATATTTGGGTGTATAATTAGGAGTAAAGAAGAAGTTATTGAATAATTTTGCAAAGGAAGATACAGGAGAGTTTAAGAACTTGACTACAGGTCTCATTGGAATCTCTAATTTATGTATTTTAGGAAGGCCATACAAACGAGGCAAATAAGGGTTTTTTAAAATGAAATTGTTAGCAAATATAATATCCTTTTCAGTGAAAAAGTCTATATATTTGGTGAGAATAGATTTAAACAAGTTAATGAACTTCTGCAGAGGGTTGAAGTTCAAGGTTATAAAATCATTATTGTTAAGAAATTCTTCAACTTTAAGAATGTAGTCCTCTTTGTTCATGATAACCAAGCAATTTTCTTTGTCAGCCTTAGAGATAATGAGATTATTATTAAGTAATTTGTCTTTAATGGATTTTAATAAATTAATATGTTGTTTAATAATTGTGTTTTTATGGGGTTTAATAGTGTTCAGGGCCGCTGAGAGCCAGGTCGGGCCCCAGGACAATTCTCTAGATCGGGCCCCGTGAAACAAAAAACTGTTCTCCCTACTTCAATTACTTCTTCTTCTTCTAAAAAAAAGGTCCTCACATCAAAAAGCTATTCTCTCTACCTCAACTGCTTCTCCTTCTAAAAAAGGGCAGCCGAACCTTAACTTCCCACTCTCATCTTGTGTCGTATTTCCCATGCAGAACGCAAAATGCTGTTGTCGGGCCCTCTTACAACGCTACCGGGCCCCCATTTAAGCCTGGGCCCCGGGAATTGGTCTCGGCTACCCCCCCCCCCTCTAGTCGGCCCTGATAGTGTTAAGGGATAAGTATCTATTGAAAATAGAGATGCAGTGTAATTTCAAAAGATTCGTAAGATCAATGTCATTAGAAAAGTGGTTAATAATAAAATCTACATCAATAGACAGTTCTTCAATATCTCTTTTGTAAATCCTAGGTTTAACTGCAAATTTTAAACCTAAGAAGAGAAACTCAATTTCACTAAAACTAATGTTAGACAAGTTTTTAACTCTGTAATTTATGTTGAAAGTTAGAAGATTAATTGTATTTTTTATGTATTAAGTTGTTAAGTTTGAGCTTTAATCTATTCAATTTAATGTGTTCAAAAAAAACCGACATCATCATGAATGTCATTTAGATTAACTTGCAACAGTTGATAAGGAGTTACCTGAACCAGTTGGTCATATAGAATTGTGAGATCAATGTTAATGGCGTTGATTTTAGAGTAGTGTTTACAAATTTCAGAGTGAATGATCTTCTTCTCAATATTGTAGGAGAGCTTTTTAGAAACATTCTTAGGTAGTTTCGCTTTAACAAATGAAGGAGTGACTCGTTGCTTTTGACATTGATGAAGAAACCAAATATCTAGATGAATATTTGATCTTTTCACTGCTAATTTTCTATAAGTAGGCACCAATCTATCCATATCGATAAATTCTTGAAGAGGTTGAGTGGTGTGTACAAACTGGGTAATAAGAAGTGAATCGAGAGAGTATTTAAAGTGTGTAAAATTAGGTTTTATTCAATAAAACTCCATAAAAAATTTGTCCGAGTACTTTCGGCCTCTTAAACCATCATCAGAGGCTCTATAAAAGAGAAAAAAACCGAAGCTGTTACAATATAATCAACTCTAACAGTACTAAAAATTGAATAAAATAAAAAACTTGTACACTTACTTGTCAAAAACTTTAGAAGAAACATGACAAGTGAACTAAATTAATAAGGGACAGCAACAGACCAGTCCCAAGTCTCCACCATGATGTCGCTGCAGTTTTTAAGGATTGAAACAATATTAAAATTTCTTTTAAAAATGTTAATATGATTAAAAGCCAACTATCACATACTAAGGATAAAATCGAATTGCTACACAAAAGTGGTATCTATAGATTAAGCTGTAACGACTGTAATACGTCTTATATAGGAAAAACTGAGAGGAGACTCAACATACGAGATCGTGAACACATCAATATCCAGATAAGTCTACTTTCGGACATCATATTAAATTCAGCAATCATAACTTCACTACTTCTGAGAATGTCACTTTTCTTCATTATATTTTTAATTGCAACTTTAAACTAAATCTGCTCGAAGACTTTGAGATACACAGAGAGTTTAATAAAACAAATGTCACATGTGTTAACACTTAAATCCATCTCAATAGCAAAATGACTCCTCTCTTTAAGAGTATTGGCAACGATTGGTCTGAAGTTACCTAGTGAGCTTCGCCTTGAATCTTCTTGCAGCGGAATTGATCTTGTCTTCTCCGACGATTGCTGATTTCGTGGCCAGGACGTTTTTTTTCTCCCCTTTTAGCTGGAAAAGCTGGTCTGCTTGCGACTTTGGTTTCGCTGGGTCCGGCATGCTCAATTCTGTTGTTTTCAGCTTGGCACCAACCCACTTTTATCATTTTCAATATAGGGACCGTGCGTGAAATATAGAGGCAGCACTACTGCCGAAGTTAGCCCTCTCTAGTGTTTAATTTTAGAATTAAATGGGGTAAACATTACAAGTAAATAATAAAGGATATTTTTTAAAATATTAAATATAGTTAAATATAGATACCGGTCCGTACCAAACAATCGAGTACATGGTCAAAATGATACAAAATGTAAAACATTATTAAAATCTGGACATGTATATACATTTTAAGCAAAAACATTTAAATGACAAAGTGACAATAAATTGTAAAGTTGTACCTCAAACAAGTATATCCAATGTCAAAATATCAGTATTTAGTAACACTGAATTTAAAAGTATTACAATAACATTTAAAAAATGTAAATTAATAAAAAAGATTGGGAATAATAATTCTTTTTAGTTTTATGTTAGACGAAATGTCATTCATCCACTGACGTTTATGAGATGCCCAATGATATACATATTATAGATTGCTCACCCATCTATAAAAAATTACGAAAAGGGGGTTGCAATGTGGCTTTCCTAGTGCTCACTAAATAGAGCCGTTCTAGCCCAAATGTGTTTTAATATAAAATTTCCGCTTTTTAATCTTCAGAAAAAGAAAATAATTAAAGTTTTACTTCAAGACACGTTATTATGTATTTGGAAAGTTGAGTTTCCATGTAGTTAAATAATATTAAGAGATCTAAACAATTTTTAAAACAGATGGATATAAATAACTTTAGACTACTCTCATTTCAGAAATAACACTACATAAAATACATAATTGCAATATGTAATACAATTTTGAAAAAGAAATGTAAACAACTTTGATATGAGATATAAACAACTTTGGTAAGAGTTGTAATTGGACACATTTATTATTCTGAATAATTTTTAATGGTAATGTCACTAAAAAAATTTTCAAAAATCACTGGATTTTTAATATTTTAAAGTTTGTTGCAATCTCTTCTGACAGCACTTGCAATGTATTATTTATGATTTGTTTATTTTAGTAATAAATGAGAAATAGTTAATAAATTGTAAAGATTTGTAAAGAAGAATTGTAAAGAATTGTAAAGAAGGCTATGATATTTTTGTCAATTTGGACATACTTATTTCATAGTAACATTCTACATTAGTTTTATTCAACAGAATAAACCATTAATTATCTGTAAAATTATATTTATATAAAATGTTTATTTAAATATATAAAAATCTTAATGACAAGAAAACACTAAAGATTCTAATTTCTAAACCGGTTCTGTAAATGATTTCTTTACAACTAAGTGCTCAAAATTGATACAAGCTAGATAAAAAAAAACTTTGCCCAGTTAAATACGTTTTTCGTGGTCTGATTTACATATGGATAAGCAATCTATATAATTATGTATATCATTGGGTGTGAGACACTAATTCTGCTCTGTGGAAATTTATAAAATTTCTTTACTATTGAATGAAATCCAGGTTTCCAAAGTAATGTGTTCGTACATCCACGGACGCAACAAGTTTTTTCGATAATGATATTACGAAAATAATTCGACTTTATTTAATTAATAATTATTAAACAATAAATGCCGTATAAAATATTAATAAATATCCCCCATAAAGTTCAAATTTTTGTCACCAGTTAGCGTTAAAGTCATGACGCACGGTCCCTTGGAATTTTTCTTAACAACTTCATTGTCAAATGTGAATTGTCACTCATTCTGTTTCTATCAAGATGGTCACGTTTTTGAAAAAACCGTATACATTTTTTTTGTACCCCAACTTCCTTCGCCTCACGGTAGCAATTGGCAAAATCTTGCTGCCTTCATGTGGAAGACTAGCAGTTTCTTTCTCTTTGAATTGTCCGGAGTGTTTTGTTCTACACTTCATTTGTTAAAATTTACCCGCATTTTACACTGGGTTAGTTACCGAATTTCGGTGTGGTTGTTCTATTTTTAATTATCTAAGCTGCAAGCTATGGTGGAGACTTGGGACTGGTCTGTTTCTGTCCCTTATTAATTTAGTTCACTATTCATGTTTCTTTTAAAGTTTTTGACGAGTAAGTGTACAAGTTTTTTATTCTATTCAATTTTTATTAATGTTAGAGTTGATTATATTGTAACAGCTCCGTTTTTTCTCTTTTATAGAGCCTCTGATGTAAACTTAAGAGGCCGAAAGCGCTCAGACAAATTTTTGATAGAGTTTTATTGAATAAAACTCAATTTTACACATTTTAAATACTCTTTCGATTCATTTCTTATTTACTTAATGCTTCATTTCCTTTTTTTTGCATTATCTTTGCTTTATCTTCTCCTTCTTATATATCATTTAATTTTATATTATTAAACCTATTTTCTCTGCTTCCATTATTATCCTAATTATTGTTCGTTTAAACACTTTCAGTTTCTCTTCATATTTATAAGTATTGTCTTATGGCTTGGTTTTATATTACTTGGTTTTATATACTTTTTTACTTACCTTCTTACTTTTCATTATATCCTTGTCGTTTTTATTGTTTTGTACTGTTTCAAATTTATATTTTTCTATTTTTAATTATTTTTTTCTTTCAGCCTCCCTGTACAGCTTATTCTCACGTATTTTGTCTTCTTTTCATTTATTTCTTATCCTCTTTTTTATTATTTGATTTAAGTTGTTAACAGCGCCCTCTAGATTTTTTTGTTTTGAGCTATAAAGGCTGCATATATTATTTGTGTCATTTTATGTGTAATAGATTTAATAAGATTTGATTCCACATTCATTTATTATTACTTTCATAGCTATGTTAAATAAAGTTGCCGATAGCCTGTCTCCTTCTATCTTATCTTCCTCTTCCTCCTGTGTCTTCACTACTTTTGATCCTTCCATTTTTAATTTAATTACATTTATTAGTATTTTCTCCCAGTTCTTTTACTTCATTAACTCTATGTATATAAAACATAATTTAATCTTTCATATAATTTTTCTCATTTGCTTATATATATGTTTTTCAATAATATTGTAAAAGTTTTAACATATCCAATGGTTTTTGCAAATCGAATCAATAAAATAATAATTTAATATTTGGAGCCAACCTGTATCAACTGATTCCAGGCAAAAGATTAAAATTTCCATTCAATTTAATATTTGGAACGTTTTACGTTTTTGACAGGGGCCTCGATCGAGTGGCTGACTGATTAGCTGGCACGTCAGGTCAAAGTTTACATAATATGAAGTTAGTTCTTTAGGAAAGTGTAAACAAAACGTGTGTAATTAATCAGCTTGGGTTTTGGTGTTTCTGGATCTGACTTTCTATATTTTATTAAGGACCTATCGAAATTTGAAATTAACGAACCATCTTACGACATCGAGTTGTCGATGAATTTGTTTTGGAGTTAGATTTAAACGGAGACATAAATTCAGATCAACACCATATTAAAAAGGTTAAGTAATTGAGTTTTTATGTACTGTCAAAAAATGTGATCATAAAATTATACGAAATGTATAAAACGTTCTGTTTTGTGTATAATATGACTTGATATCGCAAAAATGCAGTAATAAGCTCCCTTACGAAATGTTAAGGATTCATATACTGGGTGAAGACAAATTAAATTATTTTACAAGACCTTAAACCTGTTTGGACATATTGCGTCAAGCTCTGTGGCTATGTCGCAAAAGTATAATATTTTAGTGATTCAAAGATTCAAAGTATTTAGAAATATCGTCGACGCTTCTTGGTACTGCAGAATATTGATCTTCATAGATACACTGTCGACCAGGCTATCCAGCTCCTGAACGATATAGAAATAGTAAGAAAACTGAAGAGGATGAATCGTTTTAAGTGAATAAAATATTATTGTCAAAAACAGAGCAGTGTAGTTAAGTAATTGGGTACTAAAAACATAATAAGTACGTTCTTAGATTTAATTGCTCAAAGTAGTAAATTTGGTACTTATTATTCGACTTTTTGACTATAAAAAAATAATTTTCGTCTATTTTTGGATACCCAAAAATTTAACAAGCGCTAGTTTCTTAATTGATTTTTGACTTTTTTAGTTTCCTACC